CAAGAAACATCTGCTCCAACTGGTGTAAAAGCTATGACTTTTAGATCACATTTTTTAAGTTCTAGTTATAAATTAGGAGCCGAGTGATAATTTTTGATATCTTGGGGTATCGTTGTTACTTTAAGGTCGATAAAGCAGTGTAGTATTATTATTTAACGGGAAAGAAATTGTCAGAGTGTAAGTGGAGCATTGTCTATTAAAAGAAAAAGGGGTATTCATATGAAAAATATCATAAAAAAAGAAAATTTGCAACATTCTAACTTTCGCGTGAAAGTTTTAAATGTTTTATCAGCAAACCACAACATTACTCTTAAATAAATTATGTAATGATCTCGGCTTTTACCAGTCTAAGAGATTTTTTTATATTAAATTTAGGCTAATTCTTGTCCGCGCGATGGTATGTATGTATAATTATTTTAACCGACTTTAAAAAGGAGTTTTGATCTTTTATTTGTGGTACCTCACAACTTTTTTCTAGGTTTAAAACGATTCTCTTTTTTTATTTGAAAGCTGGTGTTTCTCATGTGGTCCCATATAAATTTGATCAAGGTTTGACTGGTAGCTTTTGAGCTATCCTTAATAATTTTTATTGAAGTCGATTGTACAAAATTTTTAAGTTTACCGCTTGTTTATACAAAACAGACAAACGAGTGGATTTTGTGAACTATAGACTATATCGATTAAGAATCAAAATGTAGATGCGTTGACGCCCCTGAGAACTAAGAAACTTGTACGTAGGGTACACTGAAAGTTTTGCATAACATATATACATATAATCACGCCTCTTTCCCGTAGGGGTAGGCAGAGACCACTTCTTCCCACTTGCTACGAATCTTACATACTTGTTTCGCTTCGTCCAATTTCATTATTCTCTTCATACATGCTCTTCGGTTTAGGGTACTCTTGACCTGGCCTTTTTTCAAGATGTCCCTGATTTGGTCTAGAAACGTCCGCCTAGATCTACCCCTTCCGACACTTTCATTCACACTCGCCTTATACACTTTTTTCGTCAATCGTTCTTCATTCATTCTCTCGACATGACCAAACCATCTCAGCATACCTTTCTCAATTTTTGTCACTACATCGTCTTTCAGACCACAGTGTTTCCTTATCTCACTAATACTTAATCTGTCACTCAGTTTAACTCCTATCATACTTCTTAACGCCCTCATCTCAACTGCATTTATTCTGTTTTCATGTTTCCTCTCCCATACCCAACTTTCACTTCCGTACACGAGTGTCGGAACCAACACCCCCTCATGCACAGCCAAAAGAGCCTTGTTAGACACCTTCCGACTGCTCATAAAGGAGTGCAAAGCTCCATTCACTCTTCTTTCGATATCACTATCACACTTTCCATCTCTCGTAAACTTTGAACCCAGATACACAAACATAACTCCTAATTTAAGTAAATTTATATATATATATATATATATATATATAGTAAGCGTTTTGGCAATTGCAGTTTTCTCTAGGCTTACTTCCCTCTGTCGCCTCTTGCTACACCCACGCGATGATACGTGGAAGTGAATATTCTTACACAGCGACCACACTGTAATCTTCTGTTCATTTGACATTTATTATTATTTATTTGCTTCTTGTGTTCCACTACATAGCAAAGGGATCACTAATCTTTGATATTTGCCTAGCATAAAATATTTATAATAATTTTAGATTCGTCTAACTGTTCAGTATCGTAAGACCTAGACATATTGAATATTTACATACCATATTTTAATATATTGTACATTTAAATATGAGTTTTCTGAAACACAAACAGTTTCAGAGTGAGCAATATTCCGGTGTACAAATGTAAAGTTGTACCAAAAATCCAATAATCATTCAAAGAACTGTTCCACGCAATAATTTTCCTCGTATATTACCCGAGGAAGTACTTACAAAAGTCTCCGTTCAGACGGACAATGGGCTCTTGGGTCGGGGGTTCGAAACTGCGATAAATCCGGTATAATGGGCCCATTGGACGCGGCACTATAGAGAGCTCTCCAAGCGGTTGCTTTGCTGAGCCATGCCCTATCTTTAATCTGTTTGAGTGTCTGCACTTAGATAGTTGTTTATTGATCAGTGAATGTTTGTGTTTGATTTCGGCAAGAACTTCAACAAAATAATTTCATAAACACATTAGATATGTTTAACCTCATTATCGAATAAGATTATCTTTTTAAAAAGCCATTTATAACATCAAATTCTATTTGGGAATCATCTTTTGTTTTAATTAATTTTTAGCTACGTTTTAGCTCCCATTCCGCTATCTTTTAAAATAGTATCCTCTGCCCTAAGGTTGCCTGGAAGAGATCGCTGTTTTAGCGATAAGTCCGCCTGTTGTACCAATGTCCCAATATTATATTTAAAGAAATATAATACTGTAATATGTTCCTTGGTGTACAATAAAGTATATTTTACTTTTACTTTCACTTTAGCACAAAACATAAATATATGCCTCATTATACATACTGAAATTGTCAAGTTTATACATTTAACCTAACCGTGCACCTAGAGGCGGTGTAGGAATATCCACTACCCCATATCATCCCGTGGGTGTAATAAGAGACGACAGAAGGAAATTGAACAAGCAGCATCTTCCAAAAACAGCTAAATAATAATAAAAAACAGCGATTGCCTACCCGTTTGCCAAGCGTGGTAACTATGGAAAGTATCCCCCTATGAGGGAATCTGTGGGGAAGGCCCATGTTCACCAATGGATTTTTGAAAGGCTGTAATAGTTATATATTTAAGCATTTAGAAATTGGTGTAACGGGTAAACATATGAAACAAATTTTTAACATTTTTAGAAGTAATTATAGCTACTGCGATTTGAGGGCTAAAGGTTTGATTCTATGGATTATATGGTTTTAAAAGAATTTTTTTTGTTGAAACATACGAATATGTCATACTACAGTGAATTTTTCTCAAGAAAATACGATATTTTTATATAAAAAAAAAAAATTGACGATAACGAAACCCAACCAATTAAAATTAAAGTAAAACGGCTTTTTTGGTATTTATATTTAAAAAATCTAGCATATAATTATTAAACAAAATTTAACTTGCCACGCTAGATAAAATATTTGGCACACGTTGTTTAATTTAGTTATTATTAGAAAGCACAATACTCATCTTCTAGTTTGTTCCCCTTTGTAGTGTCTTACGAGTAGGGTTACCATATCTCAGGATTTGTCCTGACATTTCAGGATTTTTAGATTCTTCTCAGGATTGCGGCTGGATTTTGCAAATCTCATGAAATCTCAGAATTTTTAGAACTTTCAATATAATACAGCTTACATTTTAATGATCTCTTTAATAAAAAGTTAAACAAACTATAAATAATTTTCCTTTGGTAATAATTTCACAATTAAAATCAAAACTTATTTATCCAAGTAGGTACTTAAACAGTTTTATCATACTTAATATGTGAAGATACCTTTTTAAGTAAGGTTTTCTTCTAAAACTGTAAAATATCTCAGGATTTTTACATGGAAATCAGGCCTCTTCTCCGGACTTTATTTTTTTTTATCTGGTAACCCCACTTACGAGTCTCTCAGTACGATATCGGGTAGTGGATATTTATAAAACGCTACTGCACTTTTAATATTCAACTGAAAATCAGTTAATTTATCGATATGTAAATCCAGATGTTTGATCTCATTCAGTGAATTGAATGTTTGAACTCTTACACCGAATGTCCCTCACTTCGTCGCTTTCTGTAGTACAATTAATAGCTTTTCGAATCGCCAAGCTTCAGCTAATAGGATTGCTTTGAATTGAGTAGTCATTTAACTGATTACAGACAAACTAAAGTCGAATGGTCATATCAATAAGTTTCCGCTAGAAACTATAGATAGGGATTCGAAGACGTCTCTCGTTTGTCAACCTTATTCAATATTTAAAAAAAAACATGTCAAAACACTTGTAAAGCAATAAGTCTAACATGGGCACAATTTTTTTCATTTTATTTTATTTTTTACGTACTTACAAATGTAAGCCTCTTGTGAACAAAAATATTGAAAAAACAGTTTAATTTTTAATTTATTAATTAAGAGGATTGTTGGTATGGTAATGCGCCTCTCGACTATCCTCCGCGACTTTAGCGGAACTGTACCACATGGTGTTTCCGAGTGCTCGTTTTTTCTTGGCTCTATGGCCTTCACATATCGGGCTCGGGAAGTCAGGGAGGGAAGTCCTCAACTAAGGACGGGTCCTCGCTGGTGGCGCCGCGGATATGCTTGAAAGCGTTTCTGTGGCCCTGTCAATGGGTGGTGAAGGTGGAACACATTTAGTAGGTCAAATACACATAGACATAAATCGTTCTTGCCCCCGCAATGCAGGTATGCGTAAGCATTTTCTCATATACTCAATACTTATTCAATAAGAATTTCTTGTAATCAAATTTGAATAAAAACTATTCTATTCTATTCTTTTATGTAGAAAGTTATTTACCAATGGTTAGGAAAACACCTCTGTCCTGGGAAAAACCAGCAATAAACACAGCGGAATTTTATTTTAAGCATATACAAATAAACTTAAAATCCCGGGGGTTTCTTTCATATATCCCTTAAATTATAATAACCCCTTTTGTACAATTTTCTTTGACTTAAACTTGTTGATTGACAAACTTTGAGAATTTTCCGGGATTTTGTTGCAAAGCGTATACATTGCTCCATAAATGAATTACTATATAATCCCGTTGGGTCTAGTGACTGGCGATACAAGCTTATGTTTGTTCCAAGTGTTTGAAGTATGAACACGTTTATTCTTATCAAAGCTATTCATGTTTTTATGTACATGAATATATTTCGATGCTACCGTTAATACGTTAATTTCTTTGAATTTTTCTCTGTGGGACTCCTTACTACTTAAGTTATAAATCGCGTGTACAGTCTTCTTTAGCTGCAACAATAACCACTAATTCTTTAATAATAATAATAATAATAATAATAAGTATTTATTTCAGACGTAAGGAACATCCATAGATTGTTAGTATGTTAGTAACAATTTTTTCTTAACTTGTAAGTTAGTATTGTTAGTGTAGTAGTAATGTGAATTATGTACAAATTATTTTTTTTTCGCCCAATAGCTACCGTCATACAGTGGTGCAGTATGGGGCAGTCGGGCCTGGCAGCAATTACCCTTAGGATGCCGTTGTTGCTGGTACGTAAGCGCTGCAGGAGAGACGCTGCTTTTCTACGCATTATGGCGAAAAAGTCATTAGTGTGTGCGTCTGCGAACATTTTAGATGCACTACAGCTCCACGGCAGCCTCAACAGCATTCTAAAAGCGTTATTATATTGTACACGCAGGGCGCTGTAGGTCCGGCGTGTATAAGTCACCCACAGACCACCGGTATAGAAAGACTGACAGAACGCTTTAAATAAAGTTACTTTCACGTCTGCAGTGCACCGGGCGAATCTGCGGGCAAGCATATTGCCCCTTACCGACAACGCTCTGCGCTCTCGCTCAATATCCTCATCATCTCCTAGGTCGCTCGTAACAATATGACCCAGATATTTGAACTTCTGTACGACTTTCAGAGGTAAACCATCGAGACATACGGGTGGCACATGTCGTGGCTTCCGTTGCGGTGCCTTAAATACTAATATTTCACTCTTTTTTGAGTTGTATTTAAGGCCCTGCTCCTCCGCATATGTCTCGCAGATAGAAAGCAGTTTCCTCAGACCTGCTATAGAAGGACTGAGCAGCACCATGTCGTCAGCATAGCTTATGTTGTTGACACATATGTCATCGATGTGGCAGCCAACATGTGTGCTGCTAAGTCGTTCAATCAGTTGGTTTACATACAGGTTGAACAAGAGTGGAGAGCTTAAGCCACCCTGCCTTACACCGCATTCCAGCCTGTATTCTTCCGACAGAGCTCCAACCCACCTCACCTGGTTACGCTGGTTAGCATACCAGTATCTTAGAAGAGCCGTGTACTCCGCCGGCACACCCGCGTCCCTCAACTTGCCCCACAGGATGTCGTATGAGACCAGGTCAAAAGCTTTCGATAAGTCGAGGAAACACGCGTACACCGGCGTCCGCCTTACGGTGTAGTATTTGACAGTGTGTTTCAGACAGTAAATGGCACTCTCCGTCGATAAATTCGGCTTAAACCCAAATTGTGCATCGTTTATTAGTACGTATTTGTTGAGACACTCATTTAACAGACTATCAAACACCTTGGCTGCAGTGGTTGCAAGCGAGATAGGTCGGTAATTACCCATGTCGGATGTGTCCCCAGTTTTATTTTTAACAATGGGTACTACAATAGTCCTCATCAGTGGCTCGGGTAAGTAAGAGTGACCCAAACACAGGCTGTAAAACAGTGAAAGGACTCGCGGAAGATGCACCCCAGCATATCTGAAGTGTTCGATGCTGAGACCATCATAACCAGGCGATTTTCCTCTTACCATCTCTTTAATTATTTTTTCTATTTTTTTTGCAGGTATCTTTTCATTTCGTTCTATCATGATAGTCTCAGCCTCGCTCAAATTCAAACCTGAAACGACATTTAAGGGTGACCTTACAGTAAAGTTACATCTGAATGCATCCGCAATATCCTTGTGATCATAAGCACCCCCAACACTCACTGGAAGACTTGGCTTAACATGCATTTTGTTTGTGTTCTTCCAGAAGCTTTTAAAGTCTTTAGAAGAGTGATTTGTCGCAATAATATCCATCTTTAGCTGTTCTTGTCTGTTTTGACACCACTTTAATTTGGCTTTAAAATGCTTTCTAGATTCTGACATCTCTTCAAATACGCGACCCCTGGACGGCTGCCCAGCCATCATCCACTCTTGAAATTTAAGCCGCGCCTCCCGATGTGGGCCCGCGACGTGCTTATTCCACCCCGTCACGTAACCTCCCTTTTTTCTACATGTATCCCTATATGTACGAATTGCTGCCAGTGATAGTATATTTATAATATTACCGTACATATTATAAAGTACAGCGTGATGTTCGTTGTTACTACAAAATGTATCACAACAGTCTCTGAGTTCCTCTGGAAGATCTATAACTCTCAAGTTTGTGTGACAAAAATCGTGATACAGTTTTATCTGTTGTGGAGTCCTGTTGCCCCAAGTAACACGGTTCACAGGTTTCCTCCTTACCTGCTCCACAACCTTAGGCTTAAGTTTATTTAAATTACATTCCACCACAAGTGGGTAGTGGTCTGACCAAAACACGTCATAATTAACAGACACGCTTACTACTGTTTCACGCGCAGAATGAGTGACTATGCAGTGGTCCAGCCACCTGTTACAACCATGAGCCTCACTATAAAAAGTAAATGTATTTTTATCACACATACTTGCATCCACACAAATCCAGCTCTCTTCATTACAAAAATCTATCATTTCATTATAAAATAATTCCCTAGGATGAGCATTAAAGTCCCCTAGTATATAAAAAGCTTCAATTCCCTTATTTTCCTCTATTTCTATTATCGATCGGATCGAACCGAGACACGTACAGAACTCAGGTAAGTTTTCATAAGAGTTTGTGGGCATATATACACTAAATATAACTACAGATCTACTACTCACAGTTACTTTTATGGCACAGATTCGCACGTTGTCACACTCTATCACTGACACTGATTCAAACACATTTTTACGCCACAATATTGCAACTCCACCATAAGGCCTCCCACTCACTAGGCCTCCCTCCGTGTCCACCGCAGATGTGCCTGTGGACCCAAATTCTTCATTGATCGTGCTGAGAAATGATAAGTCATGTGGAAGAATCCACGTTTCCTGGAGGCACAACACGTCGGCTGACTGGCACAACTCTCTTACACCTTCCGCTGACCTCTTGATCGATTTACAGTTGAAACTTATAATGTTACTAAAATTATCCATATATGTATTAATTTTTATCTATATTAATTAATTATATTATTTATTTGGTATTTTTATTGAAATGTGTTTAGTATATTCAATATATTAATTTATTATCTAAATTATTTATTTGTTTCAAAATGTATGTAGTATATGTAGCACGTATTTATTATTCAGTATGTTCAACTATCCTGAATATTTTGTTCCTTATTATTGATAATACCTTTTTGTTTATCGTAAAAATTCATAAAACGACGAAACGTTATGCCTGATGGCCACAGTTTATCATCTAGGAATATCTCAATTTTATGCTTAGATACCAAGACCTTATAGGCATCATACCCTTTCTGCCGTCTCATATTTATTTTCACCAGTGAAACCTTTTCATGCGTTTTGTTATACACATAATCAATAATATCCTGCCCTGATACCTCCTTGGCAACATTCGAGATAAACAGAGGCACCTTTATATCCGCTGCCCTAAACTTTTGACTAGTTGACTCAGACTCAATGGCACAGCCTCTTTGACTACTAAAGCGGTTTCTAAGCCTACGTTTTTGGTACAAAACCCACCCCTCGTTTTTTTCAGGCTCTTTCCATTCGCCATCTTTCCTTACTATCTCCGGGAAAGACGCAATTTTTCCATTTTTAATATCAGTTTCAGCCTGATTGATAATATTATTACCGTAACGATGCTCAGGTGATCTAGTCATCGCTATTCGGCCCTGTTGCTCTTCCTCAGAACCCACACGTACCATCTCATGATCGATTTTTGACTCATTCACGCACTCGGATGCTTGCTCAGGCGCCGTTTGCAATTCCTCGCTCACACTCGCTACACTCGCGGGCGAGCGGTTGTTTGAGTGGTAAGATGAATTACCCTCCTTACGCGAGTGAGACGCGCATTCGTCAAAGTAAGTTGAAAGTGCCATGGGACCACTATCAAAATAACTAACACCACCGCCTCTCTTCATATTTACATTATTTTGGCTCGTATGCACGCAAGTACTTTTACAGTATTCGGTTAATTGGTTATTAAGATCTGTTTTCGTAACATAGTCGCTTTGAATGCGTTGAACAGAACTTTCTAACACTAAAATTTTCTTAAGTATTGGCGTAACGTCTAAATGATTAAATGTGATGGGAGGCAGCTTTTCCAACTGCCTTGCCACGAAAATTGGGACCTGATCAGGGTCTGTTTCCTTAAGTAGACAAATTATGTCTTCAATGTTCCGTAGAGTTTTACCTTTTCGTTTTCTCACTGTCAGCTGCTTACCCACAGATTCAAACAATAACGACTTTGCCTTTTCAATCTCATCCAAATTAAAAGCACTTTCACATATTTGAATTAGGCTTTCTTCATCCATTATGTCCAGCTTATTTTGGACGAATGCTAACACTTCACAAATAACGATGTTACAATTAGAACATTTTAATATTTTCGACGCGTTATCCATTATCGTGGCCAGGTCAGTGACCTGAGCGGCACTTTATTTCCTATGTATAATATTTTTTGATTTAATTGCTCTTTTAATATAAATATTCGCATTTAAGTTTCTATTAATAATGATCTTGGAAATATATATTCACGTTTTTAGATCCCTTTAAAAAAGATTGTCTGCTACTATCCTCAAACTAATTTCGTAAAAGTCTGAGATGGAAAATAAAACAGAAAACGGGCAGCTTGCTAGTGTAACCATATAAGAAGAACAAGGCAAGCCAGATGTATAAAAGTCATAAAAAATACGTGCTCTTTACGCTCGGTAGTAGTAAAACTCTTTAATATTTAAGTTGTTTAAGTTTATTATTATTTTTATATTTGATATTTAAGAATAAATTACCAAATAATATAAACAGCTTAACTTATAAAATTGTGCAAACTTAGATGGATGCAGGTGGCTTAGTACTATGTTTAGTAGTATATAAGAAAGTATAGATGATGAAATTTTTTTTTATAGAATTGGGGTGACAAACGAGCACACAGTCCACCTGATCGTAAGTGGTTTACTGTGTCCTCCTATCCTCGAATACAAATCAAATAGCAGATGCGTTATCACCCGTGAGGACTAAGATGGAATGCCTCGTTTCCAATAAAAAAGGGTCTCCGGTTCTCTATACTCACCATACGAAACACAGCATCGTTAAGCTGCTATTTTACGCTGGTATTCTGTGAGAGCGTTGTCCTTCCCCGGTCGAGCCTACCCATTAATGCTACAACTATACCAGTAATATAGCTGCAGCATGGCTCTACCACGTATAAAATTATGGAACTCATATTACAAAAATTATTAAATAATATTAAGTTTTAGCCTGTAGTGTTACGAGATATAATCACAAATACGCGCACATCTCTAAACTCCCGTCTACACTTATTGTTAAATTTAAGCCACTTAGGCGGATTGAATATCAAACGGGTTTTGAATCTTGTTCAATTTCTCAAATTTGCCTCTTGACCTTCTTTCCAAAGACCAATTTCCTTCGCTTTAGCACATTATCGCGTCGTCACTTACTTTCAAATATAAAATCATTAGCTAATCGACGCTCAGATGTTCAGATGAGCCGATAAGTGCCTGTCCATTAAATGTTAATGGAAGAGAAATTGAGTTATTCGTAAATTGGAGACTAACGATCATTGCAAAGATTCGTTACTGGCGTCAGGTTCTATTCAGGTCTATTTATCATGCCTGTTAAATAAGACAATATCTTTATTAGATATTAAATAGCTTGCGATATAAATTTTAGGTGTATTATGAAATCAATCGGTTTTCTTTTCTGCCGACTTCCAAAAAGGAGACGGTACTCAATTCGACGCGTATGTTTTTTTTTATGTGTGTTACCTCATAACTTTTTACTGGGTGGACCGATTTCGATGATTTTTTTTATATGAAAGCATATGAATTTGATCAAGGTCAGACCAATAGTTTTTGAGTTATTTGAGTTATTCTTAATAACTTATATTGAAGTCGGCTGTACAAAAATTTTAATTTTAAATTATGTTTTCATTTGTTAATTAGTTTTCATTGTTTTTTTTTTGTATATATATTTTGCTGTAATAAAGACCTTAATAAAAAGATTACAAAGGGCGGATGTTAGAAACTCTATAAAATAATATGCAAAAACCGATAGCGTCCGTTGTTTTTTCTTTCTTAATAAGTACCTTCTCTTTTATTTTATTTTCCTTTAGCGTGCGCTTTCTTGTGGCGTGTGTATATGTTACAGTCAAAACTCATGTGAAAATCGGCCAAAAATGGTTTTGTCCGAAGCCGTTAGTCATAAACAGTTCTAACTGTGGTAGTCAAAAGTTGTTTGGAACAACGTTCTCAGTTTTAAGTGATTTTGACCAGCGTTTTATTTGAATCCATTCAATATTATACCTTAATATATTTATGATTAACGATTACATCATTATGATGTACACCGCATCATAACCTGCTATCAATGATATTGCAAGATTGGTGTAGTATTTTATTAGACTTACGAATGAGTATCAAACTATATAGTTTATTGTAGTTTTGACTAACATAAGAAAATTTATTTAATTACCCGGTATAATGTAGTCCTGACCACTACTGCCCAATACTTTTGCAATTGCCTTTTTAATAAAATAAGGGTGACAAACGAGTACACAGTCTGCCTGATGGTAAGTCGCTACTGTGTCCATAAATACATTACATTAATACTCAATTAAGAATCAAAATGCAGATGCGTTGTCACGCGTGAGAACTAAGATGGAATGCCTCGTTTCTAGTAAAAAGGGTCTCCGGTTCTCTACACTCGCCATACGAAACACAGCAGCATTAAGCTGTTATATGACATTGGTATTCTATGAGTGCGTACGACCACCTACGTGGGGAATTTTATAACCTTAAAATAGCTGCAGCTGCAGCGTGGCTCTACCACGTAAAAGTAAGCAGTCAAAAGTAATTTTGACCAAAGCCCTTAGTGGAAGAAGCTTTTGGCAAACGTCTTTAGTCAAAAGTGGTTTTGACCTACGTCTTTAGTCAAAACTACTTTTGCCTGAATTTTGCAGTCGAAAGTGGTTTTGACTGTTTATGAGTTTTTACTATACATATACACACCAAAATTTTACAAATGAA